TGTTTTATTTAATATTTTCCCCACCCGTGGGACTCACCATACGAAAAATTCATACGCATGCGCCTTAAATATACGAATATGTTACTAATTTTGATAAATGAACATCGTACTTGATGCAGGAAAGCTCATAAATTTGTAGAGACTTTGACAGGACCTAAAGTAATACAGAACTCTTCGTGTTTTATATGAAAATTATTTTATAAGTATAAAATATAAATATACTTCGCACGCAGCCAAAATACAAATTATTCCTCATAATGACAAACTCGACAGAGGACGCGCTGCATCTTCTGTTTTACCTTCCTTCTCCTGACATCCCCCACAATTACTTAATAAAAATATTTTTATATAAAATAAAACAAAATTGTTTTCACATATTTATTCTTCATATCATAGAACTACTTTTAAAAAGTTAATCCAAGTACTTTTAATAATTGTTATAAAATAGGAGGCGGGTGTGGGCCTTTTATTTGTTATTCACAGCATGGTTAAAAACAAAGGTCTGGGTGCCATTAAAAATTTAAAATCCTACAAAATTACAAATGATACTGGGAGTCAGATGGTTGCATTATTATAATTGTACATCTGTACTAAGCAAGTCTTGAGCGTTGATGATTATACGAAATAGATGTGGTATGTGCACAATTTTTGGACCTTAACCTGAACTATTTTCTTAATAATCAGCGGATATCTAATTCTAGCAGTATATTAACTTTAGATTTAAGAGTTGTAAAGTTCTAGTTTCTAAATAGGTGATAGTTGTCCGAAGATGAGTTGTTTCATCATCATAAGTCCTGAATCTCAAAAAATTATACTACCTCCGGTCCTTAATATAAGACCCCGTTTGACTTTTAGTTTGGTTCTAATTATAAGAACCCAATCCATTTTGTCTCTCATATTTATGCATTTTTTCCCAAGATAATCCTTCTAATAATGATAGTTCTAACCAACACACTTAATTAGTAAGGATATTTTAAGAATGACAACACTTATTTGTTACAAATAACTAACTTAACTTACTTCCTTAATCTCCTCAAATTAGTCAACTGGGTCTTATAATTAGGACCGGAGGTAGTATAAAATAAAATTATTTCTGTTGAATGGAGCCACAGCTAACTGAGCAGATAAGAATTTGAACCATTGGGAGCCTTTATTTATTTACTACCTCCGATCCTAATTATAAGACCCAATTGACTAATTTGAGGAGATTAAAGAAGTAAGTTAAGTTAGTTATTTGTAACAAATAAGTGTTATCATTTCTAAAATATCCTTACTAATTAAGTGTGTTGGTTAGAACTATCATTATTAGAAGGATTATCTTGGAAAAAAATACATAAATATGAGAGACAAAATGAATTGAGATCTTATAATTAGGACCAAACTAAAAATCAAATAGGTTCTTATATTAAGGACCGGAGGTAGTATTTATTAAAACTGTGGCGAGGCATGAGCCGCCGGGAAGCACTTTGTTCGGTGAGGAGGGTACAAGGGCATTTGAAAGGCGATAATAATAACGGGGACGGTGGGCCCTACCCACTAAAATTAGTGCTGGAGAGGCGGCCACCTTATTTGCGGGCCCTCCCCCGGCCCTACTGTTCAACATGTCTTGAAACAGCGGCCTCCTCATGTCATGTGCCAGGTTTCAGGGATCATCTCATCCCATCTTCACACACTACCGCCTCATTCTCAAGAGTGTGTGGGTGGGAATAAAATTATAGTTTTAGAAGTATTTTTACAGTATAAAAAATAAATATATAAAAGAGTTTGTTTTAATTTGTGAAAAAATATTTCTGAAAAATGATTATAAGATTATCCGAACACCCCCTTAATATAACTGTGTCCGATTTTCAACTAATCCTTATTCACATACTCTCTCTAATTTTTATTATAAACTTTAAATAATTAATTTATAAATGATAACTAAATAGTTAAAATTAGTTAAAATAATAAATAGATTAAAAATAGTTTTATTTTTAAATATGTCCTTATAATAAATGAAAAAAATAAAAGAAAATGTATGAAGAAATGTGACAATGGGAAATGACAAATGAGAGAGAATAAATAATTAAACATAAAATTAAAAAAATGCATTAAATGTTTACACAAATTCCAAGTTAAAGCTTATAAAACGAAACACACCCCACTCTGAATTTAAAGTTTATAAATAGAATCAGAGATATTATATTTTTATTAATTACATTAAACTTTAACATCTTAGTAATTTTTACCCTTTCACTATCTTCGTTAAATATTAGCACACATGGAAAAAAAAATTAATGCTCATTAAAACTATCCTGTTAATCTACCCCACGCCCATGAGTTTAGTTGGCAAAAGGGTCAGATTCTCTCACCAAAATGAGGGAGTTCAATTTTAGGGAGTGGCTCCAGTCACGACGCTGGAGGAGGCATCACCATAGCATAGTGAAGCTAGGAGATTCTTACCTATTGGACCAGAAAAAAATGACTTGCTTGTCATGTTCCCGTGCCCGTAAAGACAGGTCCCAGTTGATCAAGTGTTAGGTGTCCTACTCTTAGTTCGTGTGTGAGCCCAACTTTTTTTCTAAAAATTCTTCTATAAAAAAAACCCAACATCTCAAAATCTTATAAAAAGGACTAAATGTTTCCGTAAAACGAGTTTATAATAAGAATAAGAGCGTGTGTATTACAACTTAAAAGACAGAAAAGCTGAAATATGTAGTGGCCATAAAAAGCAGGATCAGACATAATCTGGCTGACCTGCCCAATCACCTCCTCCAGATTGAGAGATCTTACCTCCTGACCAACAAATGCCCCCACCCCTTTTTAATCCTTATCCTATTCTAAATTTTCCAAAATACTTCTTCACTTTCATATTATCTGTTATGGGAATATATTGTTTTTCATGTTTTATGATTACTCCTCACACATTCAACTAGGAGTAGTGTTTACTTAGAAAAGACTTGGGGGGGTTTTTTACAAAAGCTTTCAAAACTAATCTTTATTTAAAAATAACTCCATAAATAACTCATACTTAGTTAAATATAGTATCGTCGGAACAGGCTCATTGATAAATCAAAATGCTTTGATCTCTTTACATGAAATCACTGCAAAGAAATACCATATTATTGCATAAATATGTAAAACTGCGCTCATCGGATAATCTAAATCAGACTGAGTTTAATTTAAGGGTGTATTTAATAACCATAATTAAAAGAAAAACCATTATGCGTATCTTCGGGCTCAAATTAAAAATATGATCGGGATGAGGATTTGTTTTTCAACAGTTATGGGTAATGGGCATTTTATTCTAATAAAAACAGGTAGCGACATTTTGCATACAATAATATTGTTTTTTTCCCTAACCTAAATGTTGTTTTCGTTTTGACAGGCACGCATTAAAAATAAAAATCAGCAGCCGTGACACGTCACATTGCATCAGAAGCACACACGTGGGTTTTTAGTCATATCTTCCATACAATAATAACGCCAATTTTATTTGTTCAGGGGAGACTTCAAATTTCAATATTAGTACCTGTCGGCCAAAACACACAACGATCATTTGTCCTTTTTAATCTGTCAATTTACCACTGAAATTTATTTACCAGGTCGAAATTCTCAGCCCTGATCTGCTCGATAAAAATGAAGCATTTTACAGACGCAATTAATTGAGCTATCTATTATTCTGAGGTTGGGGTAAATAACAAAAATGGAGGGAAGATGAAACATCCCAGATGATATCACAAAAAAATTACGATGATGCAACATTGATTTGTTTTTATTTTTTGGGGGATCAAATATCTGGCTGCAAAATATAAAACGTCGTAGTCCATGCTTTTGTCGCACCCTGAATCAGGATTGGATCTCAATGATTTTCCAGCACAGAGATTTCAAGTTGCCATATTTTATGCTTTTATGTGGTACTCCCACACTCGTTTTGATCATATCCGTTCCTTCCTTGTCCATGTGTTAATATTATTAATACATGTCAATGACAAAATATTATTTTTTTTTCTCCCGCCCGATTTAAATAACATCCACTAATAAAATCTCGGTGACGATCTGATTTTTTTAGCACACGGTATATTGATATAGGCATTAAAATAAAGCTTCACATGCACTTTGATTATTTTAATTCTATAAAATTTTTCGCTGAAATTCCATGGAGTATGTTTGCCAGCAAGATGCGTGGCAGGAGATCCCACTGAGGAATCTAATCACGGGACTTGCATTTTTAATAAACAAATTATTTGATCAATTTTTTTACTCTTAAATTCATCTGCAAGCAAAACAGTGGGCTTTTAAAATAAATTTAAATATATTTTTTTTGACTCGAGAATACTCAATAATAAATCGCTAAACAATTACAAGTGAATCTCTGGTCAAATAAACAACAGATACAGATGAGGAATCTCAGGCAAAAAACATACGGATAAGGAGTGTTGTAAGAATTTATGTCTCTAGCTTTTATAACTTCCTTTTTTTTTTGGCCAACCTCTAACTCTTCTCATATACTTGTACATAGTAAACAAAATATCAGTAGAGCCACTCATTTTTCGTATAATCATGGAGACGAACAATTTTATATTTTTTTGGTTTTCCTCGACAGTTTCATAAAAGTCAATTCAATTCAATTTCGCTAATGCATAAAGAAAAATTAAAGGACCGAAAAAAGCTGGATCCGAACGTAATGACGCACCGAATAAAAATCCTACTCCTACGGGAGACTCTCATATTTGACTTATAGTTCCAAGCCACGTGGCTGACTTGCAACCACGTGTCTTATTATTACATTCTAATTTTTAATTCAATTTATAAAATCAAGAATCCAAATGCACGGAATTTAATCTACTACAATTTCATAAATATTTGTTCATTTTTAGACCAAAAAAAGCACAGTAAATTACAAGATTATCCGAGCAACAAAATTTTCGACATCATACAACAAAATAATTCCACGCTTATAATAATTCATAGGCTGGAGATTGAAGGACATCGTTGATCTTCACCGTAATTCAATTCTAATTTCATTCAGTTCTTTTAATTATCAAACTGATTACTCCTCCAAAACCCGAATCAAATCTTCGCCGCTTAAATCAACACAGACAAAACTTTTAATCACGCGCCGCCGAACGGATTTACGAGACAGTCCCTGGCATTTTGGCAAAAAGACGAGAGATGCCCCCGAGATTTTAGTTGGGCCACGTCAAGTCATCGAAGTCAAACTCACCGAAGTCCTCTTTCCCAAACGGTTGACTCGACAACATCACGTTCACGTCCGGCAGCCCCAGCGGCACGTCTATGTCGAACCCGAACGCATCCACATCGCCGATGCGGAAATCGTCGAACGCCGTCGAATCGCCATCGCAGGGCAGCACAGACGTGGGCGACGCCGCCGTATCGGAGTACGAAACCGCTCCTTCAGTGCTGGGACTTTCATCCGCGGCGGCCGTCGGGGTCTTTGAATCGTCCGTACTGACGGTGTTAGGGAAGTTGGTGACCGCTTTTGGACCCTTGAGCTTCAGTGCTGCCCTGTCGTACTCAGATGCGGCTTCCTCCGCCGTGTCGAAGGTTCCGAGCCAGACCCGTTTTCTTCGGCCCGGGTCCCGGATCTCGGCGGCCCACCGACCCCAAGGCCTCTGGCGAACACCTCTGTACCTATTATGGCGGCGAGAGGTAGAGGCACAGGCGAGTCGCCTTAATCGGGTCGGGTTTGATTTGGGAGGAGCGCGGGGAGAGGTGGCGGAGGAAGAGGGAGAATTGGGGGAGGGAAGACGGAGGGTGATCTGTGTGATGCGGCGCCTGAGTCTTGATGATTGTTGTGAGGTTTCAACGGCGGAAGATTCAGAGTCAGAGTCAGAGTCAGAATCAGTGGCGTCGTGATCAGTGAGTATGATCCTGAGGAGCCTGTGATCGGTTCTCTTTCTCACCGGGACTCGGCATGTTTCGGGGCGAGGATGAAGGCCGGAGGGCAGGGACATGATGACGAAGAGGGGAGAAGACAGTTTGGTTCTGAGAGGCTAAGGCTGTCCGAGGGAGGAGGGAGTGAAGAAGTTGGAAGTGTGAGGAGTGATGATGGGGGAGGTTGGCAGCATCAAAAGGAAAAAGAGACAGAATTGTGGAGAGGCAGTGGGAGAAGGGAAGAACAAAAAGGGAGAGGGAGGAATCAGGATAAAAGGAGAGGGGCTTATGCTGCGTGAAGCGAGTGAGAGAAGGTTTAGATGCGATGAAACTGTGACGAGAAAGAGAGAGGGAGGAAAGGGAAGAAGAAGGGAGATGAGAGAAGAGGAGGGAATTTTGGCGGGAGAGTAAGGGCAGTGACAGTAAGAGCAGCAAGTAGAAAATGGGGGGGCATATGTGTATATATATATAAAAGGAAGGAGGACACTCATTGGAAGACGAAGAAAAAGGGGGAAGCTCTTTATTTGATTCAAATAGTAATAGGAAACAAGCTTCGTTCCATGATGGAATCAAAGACTTAAACAAAGCCTAAACCTTCAATCTTAATGCTGATCTAAAACAAAACGAAGAGAATTGGGAGTGAGTGGAGCGCAGTTTTTTAAATTTTTTTGGAGGAAAAAAAGAAGGGCGGGGGTTCACGTCGCTCTCCAGAGTGGGAAGACGCAGCTTCCGGGCTTCCAGCTGCCTCTGCTGACGTGTCCACTCCCCCTCCTTCTTTTCTTCCTCTCTTCTCATTTCTCTCTTTTACCGCCTCCTTGTTCTCACCTGCTCCGATTTACTCTTTCCATCTTCTCCTCGCATTTCTTCATTAGCTTTATTCTCTTGAAAAATACTATTGCTTCGTGTGTCTTCTCTCCATTTCAAATCAACATTTAATACTATCATTTTTTATGTTTTATTCTGAGGGGGAAAATAATATTTTTAAGGACATTACAGCACAGTCAGCACTAAAGAAGGACGCGTATAACGCAGCGCATCACATTTCTACGTATTTATTGAATTAGAGGGTAGAGCAGCTTGGGAAATTAATTATGATTAAACAATCACCGATTCACAGGATTTGACCATTTAACTTCCAATCTGAGGCGAGTGGTGTTGGATCTTTGTTGATGCTAATGTCAGTGATCACGTCTTCACCTGAACCGGGGTTCTCACGCTGGACTAACGTTGAAAAGCGTATACGAGACAAAATTGGAAGCGTGATTAATGAATTAATTATATGTGAGCCAGTAAGACTGCAGGAGGATATGTTGCAGTGGTTAATTACTTACTCTGAACTTCTTTCCTAATTAATCAATTCATTATTTAACATGACACAGGGGAAAAAATTAAAAAAAAAATCAGATAAAAAAGAAAGAAAATGAGCGCCCCGACTCCAGAGAGTAGTTAGCTTTAAGTTTACATTTGCCATGGCTTGGGGAAGAAGCAAAGGGGAAGAGACCTGCCACCCAGTCAAACACGTGTCTTCTTATCCCACTTAAGGGGCACAGCCACTCCAATTCCCAGATGGCGACCCCTCCTATTTATCGCCCCCCTCCATCCTTTTCATTTTTTTTTCAAAAAATTCTGACCGATTCTCAAATAAAATCTACATGAGAGATTACCAGTATTACAATGACGCCAGTTAATTACCTAAAGCCAGAAAATGAAAATTAAATAAAGCACGGGGCATGATCGTTACTTTGTGACGTCAGATACGTGGATCGTTGTGAGTGCACCCGTTAGTGCAGTCCCTGCATACGCCGGGCATATAAAATTAAATGGAATAAACTGGGAAGTCAACGTAAATGAACCAACTCAACGGACATTTTGTTGAGATTTTGAGTGGGGGATTAAGGTGATAGCCACGAAGTGATAGGCTGTAATATAGGCATAGTAGTACGTGCCAACTAACATAGTCAATAAGGCGAGACACAATTATTGAGGGAGTGGTCAAATCTTACTGAGCTTTTAATTCATGAGGTGGGAAGCGGGACATGGAGGGGAGTATCTGAGGCGTGTCAGATATGAACAGTTTGAAGGGGGAGTCTTACAAGGAAAAAGAAAAAGCCAGACGGGGAGGGAGGAGCCCGTGAAACAGGGGATATCGTTGAAGGTACGTTTGGACGCAGGGGAAGTGTTCTTTGCCGATGCCAACAGTCGGCCGCCGCCTGACGCCTGATTGGATGGTCTCGCCTCTGTCCCCACGTCATACTGTCAAAATTATAAGACCACACACCATTTATCATGTCAGACACACAGTACGTACTTTCCTGCATAATCTCCAGTATTGGGCATGTGAGTGTAATCACTTTTTTACAAAAAAAAAAAAAAAAAAAGGCCCCTTGAAGCAATTTCCACGAGGAGGTTCCGGCATGCATCGTGGGAAGAGAGGAAATGATGCGCCACGATTGGGGGCATTTGCTTTTGATTCGGAGAGCAATGTGTTTGAGCATTGAGGGAAGGGAGTTATGGCCAACCCAGAAAGAAGCATGCACAAAAACATGCCCTTTCGCTTTTCAAAGGCAGCTTTCATCTTGCCAGCCTCACAATTATGGTTCCTCGCAGTCATCATCTACTAATGGCTAATGGGAAGCACAACTTGCTGCTTCAACGTTCATATCAGTAAACCACGTTTGAACTGGACGGGACGTCATGGAAAAGGAGAGATTATGATTTTTTTTAATATTTTCTTTTTGTAAGATATTGACGATAAAATCAGAACCACAATATATCTCTGATTAATTCTCGAAATCGCAGTTCTTCACATATCCATCCAAAGACCAACTTGTTCTTCAAATTTCTCCATTTTGAATAAAACTTGGCAATTTTCGAGTCCAGAAAAGATCCGTATCACCTGATACTAAATTATTTCTTCCCACTCTCATCATCATCATTATTCTACTCTCGCTTTTCTGAAGACCTGAAGCCTTGAACAAACCCCCGAGTTAAAAGCACCCTTCAGCCGATAAACAGCAAGATATTCATGGCCCGCTATAAAATTTCCAGCTTATACGGTCTTCCCTCGTAAATTAGGAGCCAAATCTACTCGAGTTATGCCAACACCCACGTCCTATAAAATATAGCCTGAGTTATCATGGGGTAACCAGTCAAAAAGCAGATCGTTCGAAAGGTTTAAGGAACAATTACCTCCACATCACCAACGTCTTACAAAAGGAATATTCACAAATGATAGCCAAACACCCTCACCAATTACCGATTTTAAGTTCCACAGACAAGAAGAGAAAGCATTCATTCAAGACATTTTTAATTCGTTTACATTAAGAGAAGTGAAATAATTTTTCTGGAGCCTTATTCAACCAGTTGAGATAAGGCAGGACCCATCATCCCATGGCATACTTCTGTGTCCAGCTGCGAGCAGTAGCTTCATACTTGGCTCTGTCGGTCTTGTACATGTGAGCGATTTCAGGGACAAGGGGGTCATCAGGGTTGGGGTCCGTCAACAACGAACATATTGACAAAAGGACCTGAAGATAATGGGAAATAGTTTTTCAGCGATTGAACTACAGCAATACATCTAGAGGTGTCGTCAATCAGGTTATCATATAAGAATGAAGCTCCATTTAAAGAAACTGAATAGTATATTTGAATTATTCAATCCTTTATGTATGTCAGATCACATACGATCAGCTTATCAAGATGGCTTAACCTATAGCTCAACTAAACAAAAATCAGATGTCGACAAAGTTGATAGAATATTATACACACAGAAACAATAAAAATCTCGCATATCTAGGCTGCTTCCAGTTTAAACATCACCTATACTCTAAATTCTTCTCTTGGCCCCAGAGGGAAGTAAACACACTAAAACATCTAGAAAAATTCTCAAAGATTGCCACGCAAGTGTAGGTTGAAAACCCATTGGAAGCCAAACCGGTAAAGAATCAGGACGAGTTGAATAAAAACAAGCGGCATGTGAACAGCAACCCGTGGCAATGCAGATATACATCTAGTTATTAGGGGGTGTTTGGCAAAACCAAAACCTAGGTTTCAGAATCACTTTCCCGCAAAACGAGATAACCTCCTCCACATATTTATTTCGTAATCCGTAAAAGCACTTCTGAATCCATGGTTTGGTTTCTATCCAAACACCTCCTTAGTTGATGACAAACCTTTTTTTTTTTTTTGGAAAAATTATTGAATATCAAGAGAACCAAGTAATATCAAACCTTGGAAATTGTAAGTGCTGGGCTCCACTGTTCTTTAAGAATGTCAAGACATATACTTCCATTGCTATTGATGTTTGGGTGAAACACCTTAGTCCTAAATGCAACCTGCAGCATGTAGTAAACCAATTTTATCAGTTCTACGAACTTGGCTATCATCTGAGGGAAAAGTACACATCATGAGTTTCAGCTTCAGAAAGACCACGTAAAGGAATCCCATAACAGTCAATTGAAATCCATTTGGCGAGCTAAATGACACAGTAAATCAAACAGGATGGTTCTAAAGAAAGTTGAATCTCTAAGCACCTTAAATATCCAACCAAAAGAAATGTTGGATTAAAAGAGGAGGCTAACATTAAAATCCCGCTAGAATACCCGTTAAAAAACCAGAAGTCTTACTCGAGCAACTCAACTTTCTGTAGAACTGTCCTCTTTTTATTGATTTCTGGAATGTGCATGTCTACATATGCAACAATGATTTAAAAAGGAGAAAAACTGCCAGCACAAATCAATTCTTCCTTTTGGTGGTAATGAAGCCATAAAGCTGAGTATCAGGTACTGCATACATCCGAGTTCAGCTCTAGACTCGGTAAACTTGTACTTTCCTACTATGACAAAAACAGGTAGGTCATGCGCACTCCCATGGAACGGTGCATGGGGTTAATGAAAAACTGTAACTTCCTCGTGCATTTTCCTCACTCAAATATTTTTGCCAATTGCAATATCAAAAAATGACAGCTGTTTCTGTCAATATTTCAAAACATATATATAACAAACTATTTTATTCGTAAGGATTAGGGAGATCATATATTCTATAGAGAATATATAAAATAATTATAAAAAAGTCTCATCAACATGAAATTGTTTTTTAATTTTAGTACTCGTAAAACAAAAAATCTACCAACATAGTTTTTGAGTTTTCAACACAACTTTGGCCCAAGGAGCATTTAACAGCAATTCATGCTTCCGAGTCTTCAGATACAACTTAAAGGAGAGCATGCTCAAAGAGCAGAACCAAAATTCTTGACAGGAAGTATGAACAATCATCAACCCACCTCAGGATTATAGCAGCTTGAGAGGAGCAAACATACAAGTGACTAACAAAAGGAACAGCTGAGTATATTATTACCTTCGGTGGCTTGAATGGATAGTCCGGAGGAAAATGAATTGAGACAAGGAAGACACCACCCGCATATGGACTATCAGAAGGTCCCATTATTGTTGCTTGCCAATGAAACATGTCCTCAGCCACAGGACCTAGTATAGATGATGGAGAATTTTAACGTCAATAAAAGACGTAGAACACTTTCAGATTATAACTAGATGTAGATCACTTTCAGATTATAACTAACTTCTTACAACCAACTAAACAACTACTCGGCAAGAGGAAAGTTCAAATCTTACAAGAATAGTTGGCATCACCAAGGATGTTGATAGATAAGCCTTAAAAGCTCATGTAATAATCACGTTCATGCGACATTATATAACTAACCGCGGAGAGATTCTCAATAACAAATAAAGAACCATGACTTGGCCAGGGCAATCAACGTTCAGAAACGTTAATATACGAAGGATCAAACTAGGTTATAGGTTATGTTATGATTGATTCGCCATCTAACTCAATCCAAAATACATATAACACCGATTAAATGGTACCCAAGACATGAACTCGGTCCTAATGGGCAACAAAGAACAAAAGAGAAAATGAAAATTGTGCTGACCGAAAATTCATAGTCAATTTGTCAATGGTTGCACAGAACAACAATCGATTTCTTTAAATTATACATCTCGGAAAAACATTTTACAGTTCTGCTGTTGGCGGGGAAGGGTTGCAATATAATTTTATCCGATGCCTGTTAATCGTGAAAATCAATAGACCCTGGAAGAAATATAAGAAGGGGATCAGGAAGCTCACCCGCGCTGCATGAAGTCGGAGGGTCCTTCTGCAAATCCTTGAGCTCCTTCAAAATGCGTTTCGATGCCATAGTAAACTTCAGGTGAGAGTCCTCAAAGACAGAAGCTAGAAACCACAAATACCAACAATAACGCTTTATGAGCAATCAGATCGTGAAGACCGGGCACCAATAAAATAAACTGCAGGCCCAAACATCTGGAGGTCGAATTGACAACGACAGAACAGACCACAATCTCCTTCGATAACCACACAGAAGCAAAAACAAAGCACGAAGGCTAAATTACCTGAGGTCGAATTGGAGCAGAGGAACTCGGAAACCAAGAAATTGACAATGAAGCTGCGAGGGAACGAAAACCAGAGAAATAATTGAGGGTGTGGAGGCGAAGGGAAAGATTATAAACCACAGAGGGGGAGAGAGAAAGAGGAGGGAGAGGATTGCTTCTAGAATTTTCTCAGTATTCGTATTCCATGCTAGCGTAAGATCAACGTCCTGGCCCTGCGTTTTTTCCTAAATAATTTTATATTTAGATTCAGAGGATACCGACACAGAAGTTTCGATAGCTAAATGTCGTCATAATGATTAAAAAGTGGGGAGGGGTGCGAAACGGATAAACGCGGTAAATTAGTCATTTTAGTCAATTTGATTGGCCAAAAAATAATCCATTGGTGTGCGCAGGATTAGATCAATAATTATACCATGGTCAAAAAGATCAATAATTATACGTTATGTAAAGTAAAATCCAAAAAATAAAAAAAATCGTAACGCTGATTATTCATAAATTGGATTTTACCCCAATGCAATGTACATGAATATTAAAATTAATAGAAGTTAAAATATTGAATAAATAATCAATTCAAGGCGATGCACACGATAAGGACGTTGTCACTTGGAACAAATGGTTGGATCAAATACTCACATTTTTTTTCTTTTGGAAAAAAGTCACAAACATATTATTCACCTTTAGGAAAATAATTTAACATGCGTAATGAACATGACAGAAGATTGAATATAGTAAACACGTAATAAGGTGACAGAATAGCCTCAACTTATTCCCCCTCTTTCCCATTTCACGGATCACAGAACTCTCTGGGTGTTTTTTTAATACAGATAACTCCCTGTTTTTGGTTAGCGATGATATGGACAATCAAATCGAAGAAATCAGACATTGTATAGATGGCCAATAGAATTCTATCTACAGAGGAAAAACAATAGAGAAGATTGAATAAAATAGAAAAAAATAACCTACTTTTTCTATATATATAAAGACGATCTTACGTGGTATGCATCTTATGTACATACATATAGCTTTTACTTTAAACAAGGAAAAACTGAAGGGCAAGTCTCTGTTAGCAGCCCGTGAGAACTGGAAGGCCGGGGGGGGGGGGGGGCTAAAAGACATCGACAGTTCCAACTTTTTCCGTTAATGAAGTATTCCTTGAAATTTTGCTTCCCGTAAACTTGCTTGCAGCTGATTTCTTCTTCAATTAGCCGATGGCCTGTAGAAAAATTACGCGGATCAACAATTTAAACATGATTTTATTTCTAAGAGGAGTTCTGCAGAATGCATGCTATCTATTACGTGCAATATGCATTTTCAGCTTGATAATATAGTAAACACTGCAGATCAACCACATACCAAATTCCGGGATCACATCATGCCATTTGTTCAAATCATGACAATAAATATCACCAAAGGACGATTTTAGCACCTCACACACTCCGCATTAATTACCACCAACCAAGAAAGGCGTGTCATTGCAAATTAGAGCGATAGCCGTAATACTTTACTTAATTGACCAGTAAGCTATCATATGATAGCAGTAATTTTACCTGAAAGCAAACATCCTGATATCACATTTAGGTCTTCTTCCTAATCGCACATCGATCTCCTTAACTTCATAGCAAGCTGATAGAAAAGGCACTGAAATCGTGTGCAGAGTCCCAATATCAAAACCAATGGAACCACTCAGATACACATCAAACACAGCTTCATGAGCATTCGACTCAGACTGCGTATCGCCTGCAGCATTTGGATTTACTCCGGCATTATTGTACACTTTCATGTGTGCATCCAAGAAAGTGTCATTCTGGGGATTCTGACGGAACCCAGTAATCTTTGTCTTCTCCAGTTTCACATCCTCACTGGTCACATCAAATGCCAAAGGCCCATAAATCAGTCTGAGCTTTTGATTCTTGTTTGAGACTGTTAGCTCCAATTCCAGAACTGAATTCATCTGCTGTGAGTTATGGAACTGTAATTTGGTCATGTTCACGTGAGGCAACCCTGACCGGAGGAAGACCAGGTAGGAGATACCGATGAGGAGGAGGATAATGGTGAGAGTGAATATTCCGATACAAGCCCATGTACAAATTGAGAAGCAATACGATCGGCAGCGTCCGCCAACATGATCCAATTCACCAACGTCGCTGCGTCCGGACCAACGGAACGGCGGTGGAGGCGGTTGAAAAGGCATTTCGAAGAAGGCATGGCGGCGAGACTTCGCGGCGGCGGAGGGTTTTTTGAGTAACGCCGGCTTGCTGTTTGATCGGGGAAGCTCCGCCGCCATTGCCGACGAAAACTTTGCGTAAGGGGGAAGAAGGGGCTGCCAAGTAGCTCGAACGTGAATTTAGTTTGCCATGGTTGTGAAGGAGAGATTTGTTATGACATTGCCAATACGCAACAGGGAAATTCTATATATGGCAAAATCAGTTAGCGGGTGAAGATACAGTAACAAAAGAGATGCTAGTAACGCAACCGATCGATATGCATCAGAAACTTTTTCATAGATTTCACAAAGTGTTTTTTCTAGTAATTTTCAGCAACTGCCATTAATTTCAGCAAACAAAAATATTGTGGAGATGCAGGGGATCGAACCCTGTACCTCTCGCATGCAAAGCGAGCGCTCTACCATTTGAGCTACATCCCCGATGGTAGTGGGTGAACATTCTATACAATTTCAAACTCTGTTTCTGATGTTAGCAAACCAAAATTCCGTGAGCGACACCAGCTTTAGTTTCCAATCAATCCCAGCAGTAATTTTGTCTTGGAACAAATAGCCAAGCAATATTTGGTTAGCCCTGATGACAACACAATTTTTGAAGATATATTTTTTCTACAAACTTTCAGAAATACTGGCGTTGGTTGGCTGGATATATAGATTTTTTAAAATTAAAAGGGTTCAAAAAACTTTAATTTACCGTCTTATTAGTTTCGGTAGATAGATAGAGATGATTCAAATGGTTCCCAAAGATTTTAATCTAACATTTTTCTTAAAAATTACATTTTAATCTGTTTTTTATTGGACTCGTCTTGTTCGTCGATTCAAAAGCCCAATCTGATTTTGAGAACAGGAAAGAACACCAACAAAACCCAAACCAGAAACTCTATAGTCTGATACGACCCAAATACTTAAGCCTTTTTATAATAGAGCTCCTCTATGATCTCTGCGGACTACGGAGCTTTATCAGTTGAAGTGAAGGAATGATATTTCATCAAAGCCCACTGAACATACTCCAGCAAAAGTGCAACAGCTCAGAAAGACGGAACTCAAGAGTCGTGCAATTGGCATTTGGCGTGGTTAAGGGGGTGTTTGGATAGAAATCAAATCATAGCTTCAGAAGTGCTTTTACGGATTACGAAGTAAATATGTGAAGGAGATTATCTCGTTTTGCGAAAAAGTGCTTTTAAAACCATGGTTTTGGGTTTTCCAAACGCCCCCTAAATCTGACACACACAAAATGCGGTAATGAAGAATAACCAAAGATCACTATTCAGATTCCATGGTTTGTTGGTCGGGTTTCTTGTCTAAAGTAAAGCAAGATTTGAAATGACCGCACGCTGGATCTCCTCGCTGTAAGGCTGTAATTCTAAACCGATTAATGAACTGCGACAGTGTCGTCAAAAGAAAAAGAGGTTGATTTTCTTAACATTTTTCCAATTGATGAGATTGTACGACAAACTTATCAATAGAGGGCCAGCCAAACAACAAATAGAAGGCAGTTTGGGAGAATGAAGATCATCAATTAAACCCACGATGTTACAAGATATCATGAAAAGATTAGCGGAAAAACCTACATTTTGAACGAAAAACCCCAGGGGACTCCGTCTATGAAGAAAAATAAATAATGCACAATTGGACAGAAAAGGTTTGAATACAACTGAGAAACCTTGAGTAAGCACTCACTCTTATATACCACTCAATGTTGCTCCCTAAATAACGAATGTCTAGAAATCAATCTTGTATGGAACCAACAAGGAACGCCAGGAAGTAATTTATGGAGTTTGAACGTTGGAGTCCTTGGATTTATTCTCTTCCGAAGACGGCCGGTTCTCTGAGTCAGATTGCCGGATCTCCTCGATCATTCTCACTACATCATCCATGCTAGGTCGCATATCCGGCACCTTTGCCACACAGGCCATGGCAATTTGCAACATTTGAACCATTTCTTCTTCAATGTTTTGATACCTCATTAGCTCCACATCAAAAACCTCAGCCGTCCATTCCTCCCTAACAACAGAGTGGACCCATCTAGGGAGATCAACCATATCATCACGTCCTGGTGACTGGAGGGGTGCTTTCCCAGTAAGCATTTCCAGAAGGAGGACACCGAAGCTGTACACATCTGATTTATGAGTGTGTTTACGCATCTCAATCACCTCAGGAGCGCGATAACCTGCAGCCCTGGAGGGGGTTGCTGGAACATTCATAAGCGGGGTCAAGCCAAAATCAGAAATGCAGGCTTCATTATCTTGGATGAGGACATTTGAGGACTTGATATTTCCATGAGTGAATTTTGGACCCCCAACGGAATGTATGTGGGCAACTCCTCGGGCAGCTCCCAGGGAGACCTTCACTCGGGAATCCCAATCTAACGGAGCTCTTCCACCTGACCTACTACCTGTAATCAAATTGTCATCATCAGTAATAAAGGATTGCATATAACTTTTTTATAGCAGGAGAATCACAACGGCTTTTACAAAGTCCTCAAGGAAATGCAAGCATTTTTTTTCCAGCTTGAATATGATACTCTTCCTTTCCGCATTTACAAATTTCTTTGAAGCTTCGGGTTAGAGGTCAGAAAGTTTATACAGGGGGAAAATAGCAAGACTGCATATTTTACTGCAGTAGACAAGAATTTCAGAGTGAAAATCCATCACAAATCAACACACTATAAATCAAATGATTAGGAAATAGATCTCAGACTCTATAAATCAAAGGGAGGACACACTTTAACCTCATATGAGAATGATAAGAAAGAAGTATCATCATACAGGAACGAGAAAGAAATTTAGATGATCAGAAATGCATACCATGCAGTAGTGTTGACAGGTTGCCCCCTGAGATATAGTCATAGACCAAAAGTTTCTCATCCTTTGAATAATAATAAGCACGAAGGGGTACAACATTTGGATGCTGCCCAACCCTTCCCACAGTCTCCATCTGCTGTTCAAAGTCTCTCTTGCCCACCACTACTTCCTTCAACCTTTTCACCACAACAGTAGTGGACTCCTCCAATACAGCCTTATAGGCAGTACCATAGCTACCCTTACCCAGAACTTCAGCTGAAGCTCTTAGCAAATCCTCAAGATCAAAATTATAAGAACAGCCTTCAAAGAAAACCAACTTGTTCTTCTCGGGTTCTTGCACGCCACTGCCAAACTCTTCTTTCGGCTTCTCTCCTCTCCCACCACTAGGACCCTTCCCTTTAATTACACTGGATCTTCCATTGTCTTTTTTCTTTAAACAGCAGAGAACAATAACAAGAGCTATAAGTAACAGCAGAACAGCTCCTCCAACAGCGATTGCAATGATAGCTACCTTACTCAATTTATTTTTGGAGCTTTGCCTTTTTGGAGCCAATGGTGGGGCTGGAGGTAAGGCAGGAGAAGGTGTAGGAGGGACAGAAGTGCAGGGTTTTAGAGGTTTTCCACACAAGAGAGAATTCCCTTCAAAGGATGAGTTGGGAAATTTCTGAAGAGCTGGTGGGATAGAGCCATTCAACTGGTTGTAACTTAAGTTCAAAAGCTTGAGCTTAGGGACTTTGAGATTAGGTATCCGTCCAGAAAGGGAGTTGTTCTGAAGGTATAATCTAGTCAGTTCTGTTAAATTTTGTAAAGTCTCTGGAATTACACCGGTGAAAGAATTATCAGACAGATCAAGTACATTTAGTTGGGGTGAAAATGAGGTGGGTATATCACCTGAAAGGTTATTATGCTGGAGGTAGAGATACTGGAGAGAAGGAAGAGAAGTGATATCACTAGGTAAATTTCCAGTGAGTAGGTTGGATCGAAGGCTTATAGTTCTAAGGCTGTCAAGCTTTCCAAGTGTATTAGTTGGGATGGATCCCACGAGTCCAATTCCAGGGAGCCTGACAGAAACAACGTGAGTGCCATTTGGATTGCAAGTGATGCCGACCCAAGACTTGCAGACAGAGCTGGATGGATCCCACTTAAGGTTCCGCTGATGGGGGATAGCATTGGCAAAACTAAGAAGGGCTTGCTTTTCCGAATTTAAGTCAGCAATAGCCAGAGGAAAAATAATAACAATGACCAAAAGGAAAGGTTGCAACGAAGATGAATAGAACTTCATGGAGAGCTGTTTGCTATAACTCACAGAACCTGACTATTAAATTGAGTAACCTCAGCTGAACTTCATATTCCTGGTATAGAAGCAAAACCACAAATCTAAGTAAGAAACGGGCATGATGAAGAAATAAGTTACATATGACAACCTAGATTGAATAAAAATAGTGACAACGTAGAAAATGAATGCCTCCCAACACATTAAAGGTTGGCATCCAATCTCACACCAGGAAAAGAAAAGAGCAGTATCCAAATGAACTGAACAGCTGAATTGTGATGCATGAGGGCTTGCTTTGAATAATTAAGAAAATATAACACAAAATGGAAAAGGGGAAAAAGCTCACTGATGTTCAATGGGGACACTTGCATACTGCACCTTTCTCAACCACCAGAGGTATGAACATCTTAAATGAGAACTATTCCACCAAGAAATTTACTCAAATTAGTAAAACAGGTCCTTTCTCTTCTTTGTAAGACAGGTCGAGCGCGAGTAGGGAATAGAATTTACTCAACACGTGAAGCCAACTGCTAAAAAAGAAGAAGATGGAGAAAAACTGTTGAACAAGAACTTGAGGATAGCATCTAATGTAAATTATAGTCGTATAAGTAGGTACGTTTAGGTTTCGTCAAGCTTTACAAACTATTTTAACCAGGACTGATAACTTGAGCTTATAGTTCTCCATTTTATCCTCAGAATACAAAGTTATCTAGCCAACCACAATCCAACGCAAGCTTTCATCCTGATTTTGTTTTTCCCAACACGAAAAAATAATGACCTGAATCGCTACAAAGAAAGGAATGAGTGGAAAGAAACACAAATTTTCTTTAAACGCATTTATTGATCATGAAGCAAAGCCAGACATGAGAGAGTTAGGGTCGTTGAACAACCAAATTTCCTTAAGAAAATATACCTAAAACACGTTTTTCTACAATTACCTTCAGATCCTAAAGACCAACCAGACCACGACTATCCCAGCACAAAAT